CAGCCCAGTCATTAGTGTGTACATATTTGCACAGGAACACACATATATACAGACATGTATATCACACCCAGTTAACCCTCCTTATGGGAAGGTTCTGTCATCCCTGTGTTAAGACGTATATACACCCCTTTCCATACATCCCAGGTAACAGTTACAGGTCTGTGAAGTCAGGATTATTATTTTTTGTTTAGTTTTGTGTTACATTTGGCTGTGCTCAGGGCTTACTCCTGGTGTTGCCCTCAGGGATTATTCCTGGCAGGCTCGGGAGACCATATAGGGTTCTGGGGACCAACCCAGCTCAGCTGCATACAAGGCAAGCATCTTATCTGCTGTACTGTTGCTCCAGCCTGAAGTTGGGATTATTGGCTTGTTTTATAAGAGGAAATGGAAGCCTGTGGTGGTTAAATGGCCTGCACAGGATCACACAGCCATCAGTGGGCAGAGCTGAGGTTCAGGCCCGGAATGCCTAATTCCAAACCCAGGTTCTTACCCTGAAGAAGAATATGTCATTTGCCCTGAGATCCCTGCATTGCCCATGTGGGGCCATATGGTATGGCCAATGGACAAGGAACTAATAGGTGCTTCAGAGATCTGTATTATTGCCTTCTCCAAGGAGCCACCCCTGGTTCATAGGCAGGATTAGGGCTGTCTGCTTTTTATTTCCAATCCTGTGCTCCTTCCCTAGGAGCGTATCACACACTAGGTTCCGACTGTCCATTTTCTTGTCTCTTCCACTACACTGGGAGCATGAAGAGGCAGAGATGCTCTCTAGGCTGGTTCACTGAGTATCCCTGATGCCCACTTCAGGGCCTCCCGCAGTAAAGGCTCCTCCCAAGAGCTTTCTTGAATGAATGAATGAATGAATGAATGAATGATTTTATATATTTATTTTCCCCAGAATGGAAAAGTCATTCTTTCAGAGAGTGTAGAGAATATAGGGGCAGGGGACAGCAGCACCAGCTCTGACTCTGAGCCTTGCCCTCCTCCATCCCTAGGTATATGGGGCGTCTAACGTGGAGCTCATTACCCGGACTCGCACAGAGCATCTTTCAGAACAGCACAAGGGCAAGGTCAAAGGTAATGAAGCAAAGGCAGGTGGAAGGAGGACCAGCTCCCAGCTGAGTGTCTATGAGCATTGTCTCTGGCATCCAAGCAGAAGCCAGGAAAGTTTATCAGGCAAATGGGTTTCTGTTTGATGTCTTCTTGATAGGTAGGGCGTGCCACTAAGAAGATTTGAAGGCAGCCGTTGGGCTCAGTGGGAAGGAATAGTCCATTTGGTTAATCTTTTGTGTTAGGTTTGTCCATTCTCACCCAGTAGGACGCCCCACGGCAGCCATCAGGGTGGTCTGCCCCTGCCTCACTGTGCCTCTGGATGTCACCCCTGGGCGTTATTTTGCCTAAAGTGGAAATATGAAATTCCTACTTCACCCCATGGAGGAAAATGACATCCTTAATAGAAAAGTCCCTGAAGGAAAAGACCCACTTACCTATGAGAACCCCAAGCTGCTCACCAAGGGGTAACTTTTCTCCAGTGCTATCAACCTGGAGAGTGACCTCCTGAGCCTCAGGCCTACTTTTTTTCCAGTTTTGTCCCTCACCTACACCCCGGTGTCCTCAGTCCCTTCCCACGAAGGTGCTAGGCATGAGGCATGAGGCATGGGGGACACCTCTGCCCCCGCCCCAGAACCAGCCTGCCCTGGGTCTTAGGTGCTGTCCTTGAGGGCTTCAGTGTCTTCTGAGCTGTCCTATTTCTTGTAGGCTGTAAGACGCCTCTGCAGTCCTTCCTGGGAATTGCTGAGCAGCATGGGGGCCCCCAAAATGGGGTGAGTGTGTGCCAGGAGGGGCCTCTGCGTGGAGGGGTGTGGACAGGGTTCAGGAGGAGGTCCAGGAGGCAACCTGCTTGGCATGCCCCGTGGTCTTCCTTCCCGCAATACCACAGGCCGCGTCCGCCGCACAGTGGCAGTGGGGCAAGGGGCCCATGAGACCACGCGGCTGCCCTGGCCTCAGACAGAGAAGGGCTCACGGCCCCTCCCCGTGTGGTGCAGACCCTGATCACTCAGACTCTGAGCCAGGCCAACCCCACTGCCATCACCGCAGAAGAATACTTCAACCCCAACTTTGAGCTTGGCAACCGGGACATGGGCCGCCCCATGGAACTGACTACCAAGACCCAGAAGTGAGGCCCCTGCTGGTGGGGTGGGGGGTGGCCGGGCAGCACTGCAGGGTGGCCAGGGTACCATGCCTCCTACAGAGTCCCTTACCTTTGGGGCTCTGGCGGGGCAGGTTCAAGGCCAAGCTGTGGCTGTGTGAGGAGCACCCCCTGTCCCTGTGTGAGCAGGTGGCCCCCATCATTGACCTTATGGCAGTCAGCAACGCCCTGTTTGCCAAGCTCCGGGACTTCATCACCCTGCGGCTTCCTCCAGGCTTCCCGGTCAAGATTGGTGAGAGCCCCACTCCCTGCCCTCAGTCCTGATGGGGGTTGGAGGGTGGGGCGGTTAGGAAGGGGGCCGGGTGGGAGGGGCAGGTGGTAGCCGTTGATGCCCCCCTCTCCCATCCCCAGAAATCCCGATCTTCCACATCCTCAACGCGCGCATCACCTTCGGAAACCTCAACGGCTGTGACGAGCCGGTGCCGTCGGTGCGTGGCAGCCCAGGCAGTGAGACCCCTTCCCCGGGCAGCGACTCGTCCAGCGTCAGCAGCTCCAGTTCCACCAGTGAGCACCACCCTCCACCCCCAGCCCGGCACCGCTCGTGACCCCCTCCCAGGGTGCAGGTTCAGGGCGGGGGAAGATGGGGTTGGTCTCCATCCTGACCCTCAGCCTGGCGCCCCCAGCCTCCTGCCGGGGCTGCGAGATCTCCCCAGCCTTGTTCGAGGCTCCCCGCGGCTACAGTGTGCTGGGCAGCCAGCGGGAGGCCGGGAGCCGCGAGGACGACGACGACCTGCTGCAGTTCGCCATCCAGCAGAGCCTGCTCGAGGCGGGCAGCGAGTACGACCAGGTGCGGCCCGTGGCAGGTTGGGGCGGGGCCGGAGGAGAAGGGGGCTGGTGCAGGGCAGCGGCGGGGCCACGGAGCTCACTGGGGCTGGTAACCTCACCTCCAGGTTACCATCTGGGAGGCACTAACCAACAGCAAGCCGGGAACACACCCCATGTCCTACGATAGTCGGCGACAGGACAGGTCAGTGCTAGGCGGGCCCACTCCCCTTCCCACAGTGCCCGTTCACCGAGACCCTCAGCGCCCCCGGTGCGTTAAGCAGGGACCAGGCTCCTAGAGCCAGGGCGACTCCTGCGGGTGTCACGCACGTCCTGGCGCTGCGGCCGCCGGTCTGTCTTTCAGAACCTCTCCGGCAGGCAGGAGAGGTTGGGCCCCGGGTCTGCAGGGCGCCTCGTCTCCAGGCGCCCCGGCGGCGGCGCTGGGAAGCCAAGGGGCCTTGTCGGGATGGGAGAGGCCACGGTGGTGGAGGCGGGGTGTGGGATTCGACTCCTCCCGGGGCGGGGACCTGGCTGTTGCGCCCCGGGGCCTCCACGCTGTCTCCTGGCCCCGCTTATGGTCAGGTGCGCCTGGGAGCCCTCGACGTATGTTCCCCGCCCCCAGGAGCGCCCCGCCCACGCCCCAGCGCCGGCCCGACTCCCCGACGTCGCGCGCAGTCCCCAGCCCGCGGCGCAGCCCGGGCCCCGGCGCGCGCGTCTTCCGGAGCTACGACGAGCAGCTGCGGCTGGCCATGGCGCTGTCGGCGCAGGAGCAGGAGCGGCGGCGGCGGCGCGCGCGCCTGGAGGAGGAGGAGCTGGAGCGCATCCTGCGGCTGTCCCTGACCGAGCAGTAGCGCGCCCCTCGCCCAGGGGCCCGGAAAGCCCCGGCCGCTGCGCCCTCGCCCTCCGAGTGGTCGCCGGAGACTGGAGCCGCCGCCTCTGGGGCCGTGGGGAGCCCAGGACACCGGATGCGGAGGGGCTGGGCACGGCTGCGGGTTACATCTCAGGGCCAGGGCCCTGGCGGCAGCTGACACAGCCCTGTCCCCCTGCTTTGCGGCAGCCTGACCCCCACCCCTCTTGCCGGGGCTCAGAGCTACCCCAGCGGGGAGCCAGGCGGTCCTGAGGGGGAGATGGGTCCTCGGAGGAGCAGCGCCACCCCGTGCTCCTCAGCCGGCTCCATTCTGCTCACTCGCCCGGCCAGGACACTGCCCACGAAGCCTTTGCATCTCGCTCTTCACCCTGGGAGGTGGCTGAGCTCCCGCGTGCTGTGTGGCTGCTTCATCCCAGACACAAGCCAGCACCGCCAGGGCCCAGCCCTCCCCCCCACCCCCGGCATTTCAGCGTCAAGTGCACTTAGCGGGGTGTCCGGCTCCCCCAGCTCCCACACCTCTCCTGGGTCTCAGGGTGGTCCCAGCTGCTGCTTGGGAGGCCAGAGTTGGTGCCCCTCCCCTCACCCCACCCCAGGCACGTTTCTGTGGTCCGGGGAGGGTGCCTGCACTGGCCTACCCCCCAGCCTGGGCACAGCCTGGCGCCTTGGTGGTATCAAGGCGCCCAGCGGGGCAAGCACTAGACCCTCCTCTAGACTGGGCACAAAAGGGGTTGCCCAGGGCCCTGGCACCACCCCACCCCTACCCACCAGCTGCTGCTATCGCCCTCTGTGGTCGTGTGCCCCACTTGCCCCTAAGGGCCGACTGTAAAACCCATCATCCAATGGTGCTAACCCCCGGCTCCCCCGCCCCGCGCCCCTCGAGAAGCACAGGCCCCGCCAGGGCAGCGCCCACTGCACACTCTTGTCCGCGGCCTCCTGGCTCAGCCAGAGAGACTTGGAAGGGGCACAAAAAGGCAAGAGAAAAGAGAAACAGTTCATCCTCCCCACGCCCATCCCCCCACCCCCACCCCCTACGCCGGGGCACCAGACCAATCCTGAGGCACAAATAAAAGAGGCTTCAAACCCGAGGTTTGGCCTACCTGGCTTTACTGGGGAAGGATGCCCACCTGCGGGCCACGTGTTCCTTAGGAACCTGTACGGGGAGGCCCTGGGCGTGCGCCGAGAAGGGGTTCTCCCTGGCCACCCCCCACCAGGAGGTACAGACTGGGCACTTAGAAACTAGCATTTCGCGCGGTGCGTCTGGATTTCCTCCGGGAGGTGGCGCCGAGGGCCGGGGATGTGAACCTGCTTCCTTGCACCGGTTCTCCCGTTAGTTCTCCGGCTGGGGTGCCGCGGGGAAGCCGCCCTCTCCCCTGCGGGTGGAAAGAAGAAAGCCCTCTGCCCGAGGCTGCCGGACAGAGCCGGAGGCGGGGGCCAGGACGGCATGGTTTTACAGCCAAGTCGGGCTCCCCACGCAGGGGGGTGGTGGGGTCGGGTGCGGTGATCAGAGGAAAGACGCGCTGTCATCACTCCAGCCACTCTGAGGAGACCCATCTAATCGCCACCCCTTGGACGTGAAGCGCAAACCCTTCCCCCAATCCCCAAGGCTCGCAGCGCAGCACCGTCGTCGCCGAGGCCTCGTCACCCGCAAGGCCAGCTCCTGCGAGTCCCTGAAGACGCACGCTGCCCCGAGGGCTCCAGACCGACGCTAGTCCGGGCTGGGGGTAGAGCTGGTGACGGTTTGTGAGTCCAGGACTCTCGAGAGGGCCAGAGTCCCCGTCCCCCGCCCCAGCCTGGAGAGGCGTTTGGGGTGCGCGCGCCTGCGCGGCAGCGAGGCGGATCTTGGGGCGCCCCTGGGCTCTGCCCTGCAGCCCCGCGCGCTGCCGCGCTAGTCCGTGCCGTCCACCAGCTCGCATAGCATGTTCTCCAGGGCCGCGATGCGCTGGTCCTGTGCCTGCACCTGCGCTCGGAGGCCCTTGATTTCCTCCAGCAGCGTCTCCAGGGTGGGCTGCTACGGGGCACGGGGAACAGAGAGGCGACATGGTCGGGAAGGGGGCCTCAGGGAGCGCGTGGACTGGGCGTGGGGAACTGGAGCGGATCATACCGACAAGGAGGCGTCGCTGGCCGACTGGCTGCGGCGGGGGCCAGCAGGCGGGCGAACGTCCAGAATGTTGCGCTTGGTGACCCGGAGCTCGCGGTGCTTGGGGGGCACGTAACCGTCTCTCAGTGAGATGAGCACGGGCTCAGCGTCCTGGCCCGAGAGCCATTCTTCTGCCTCCAGGGCCGCCTCGGGACCCGGCGTGTCTGGATAGAGGTCGTCCTGGAAGAGGTCTGACTGCGGGGTGGGGGCAACCGGGAGGGTTTAGTGGAGTCCCCGGCCTGCTCCCTCTGCTCCCCCCCCCTTGCCCTCAGAGCCTCGCCCCCAACGCGACCCCTTACCTTGCGGGGCACAGTCATAATGATGGGTTCACACTTTCTTTCATGTAGCTTGTAGAACCTACAAGCAAGGGGGGTTGGGTTCAGCACTCGGGTAGGTGCCCCTTCCCTAAGCCGCTGCCTGGAACCAGGGTTAGACACCCGCACTTACTGAGCACCCAGCATGCATTGGACTTTTCAACACGGGATTGCTCCGTCTGGTGAAACACCTCGAGAAGGGGTGTTTGTCACCAATTTACAGATGAGGAAATTGAGGTTCTGAGGCTGTCCTAGTTAGCGCTGGGGCTCGCAGTGGAGACAGGCCTGTTTGACACCCCCGCCCCATCCACTCTTTTCCTAAGATCATTCTAGGGAGAAGGTCCAGGGCAGGAGAAGTGGGGGGGAGGGGGGTGCACCAAGGACAGGGCTGCTGACCGGGCTATCTCACACTTGCTGACGTCCAGGCCCCGCTTGGGCATGAACCCCATGCCCCTCTGTGGCTCCTTGCTGCTGAAGGTGTTCAGGTAGTGCACAAAAGGGGGCTCGTCCGTAATCTCGAAGTACCGAATGCTGCTGTCGCCCTGCAAAACCACTGGCCTCAGCTACGGGAGACTGGGGTTCTCCACCTCGCAGTGCATCCCTTGTGCCTGTCCAGCCCCCAGCACCTTGCCGCACAGATAGACGATGCTGGAATCCGGGTCGTAGAAAGGCAGCAGCACCCCATTGCTGGTGTCCATCTCCTGCAGGGCCACTGGCTCCTCAAAGTTGTTCTGCACGAACATAGGAGTCGTGACCAGCCATGTCCCGCACTCCGACAATTGTGGGATCGTCGGGGGAAGCCCCTTTACACTTCCCGCTCCCCTCCAACCCCCGCCCCGTATATTCTCTGGCGACTCTGCTGAAGTCGCTGCCAGCCTAGCTCACGCCGCCCCCCTGCTACCACAGCATGCAGTCACTGCAAACCACCCCCAGGGACTCGGCATCAACAGGTGCGGAGCGCCAGCCCAGGCTCCTTCAGGCGACGCAGCAAACACCGAGCGAGCGCGGAGCGGTGGGTGTGGGGTGGCAGACGCCGCCAAGGGGGGCAGCAGCCTCCAACCCTGTCCGGGAGGGCACGACTGCGGGTGGGGGGCACCTGGCCCCTCTCCCGTGATGCCAGTCCCCGGGGCACACACCCCAAGCTTCTAGCTGCGTTACCGGGTCCCACAGGCCCAGCTCTCGCTGGCTCATGCGGGTGAAGCCCGTAGTGAAGATGTGGCCCTGGCGCGTGAAGACGGCCCGCATGGGCCTCATCCCCTCGTGGGCCGCAAACCTCTCCTGGGGGGAGGAGGGAGACGGGGCGTCACCAAGCTGCCTCGCAGGGGGCCTGGGAGGGCCCGGCAACCAGCGTGTGGCCTTGGATGTGGGTTGGGGTGGGCGGGGTGGGCGTTGGCGGGAAGCAGACCAAAGGGCGGGGGGTTGGGGGGGCAAGCGCTCCGCTCCCTGGGGCGCCCCAGGCTGGTCCTAGGTCTGGAGCGTGTGAATTCACTCGGAGCTGGGATGTCTGCAGGCTCCCTGAAGTCGCAGCGAGGTTTTTCCCGCAGGGAGTTCTTTGCTCCGCTTCGCCCGGGCTGGCGCAGCGGACGAGCGAGTGGGCGCCCGCCACACGGCCTGGCCTACCGGTCCCCGAACGAGCGCCGGTTGCTGCAGGCTCGTCCTGCTGAAGCCGGTGCCGAGCCCCGCGCCGTCGGCGGTGAAGGCAGCGCGCGGGCGCCCCCGTGAGGCCGGGCTCGCTCCTGAGCGCGGGAGCAGTGGTTAGAGTGCCGCGCCGCGCCGCACCCCTCCGCACGCACGCACACACGCACACACGCACACACGCACCAGCCTGCGGAGGGCCCCGCCACACGCGTGGGTGCCCCGTCCACCCGCGCAGCGGGCCCACTAGCCAGCTACAGGCCCCAGCCCCAGGAGGGCTCGTGGTTCGGGCCCTGGGCTCAGGTTTCATGCACATTAGGCCTTTAGGCTAGAGGGAGGGGTTCGTAGTTCCCGCTCCTCAGTCTCCAGCATCCCATCTCAGACCTTCGGAGACGGTGCGGAGGAGCGAACAGGAAGAGAGAGCAGAGACACGAGGGCAAGGGCAAGCGGGTAGCACTGTGTAGGGGAGGGTGGGGAGAGGCGAGAGCTGAGGCTCAGAAATTTGCGGGTACAGGCGCGTCCTGGCTACTCACCGCCACCACCTGGCCTTTGCGGGGGTCGATGACGCGCAGGGTCTTGTCCTTGCAGGTGGTGGCCAACAGGCTGCCGATGCTGTTCCAGCACGCGCTGTGGATGACGTCAGGGTGCATGTTGTCCAGACTCAGGAGCACCTCCCCAGTGCCCACGTTCCAGATGAGGATCACATTGTCTCCACCTGCCCAGAGTGGCCAGGCACGGTCACCGGGGCCCCTCCTTGCCACTCCCCCCCATCTCTGAGGAGGACCCCTTCCTAGGCCCCCAGACCTGCGCTGAGCAGAACATTCCGGGCCGTGGGGTGCCAGGAGAGGATGCCCACGCGTTTGGAGTGGCCCTCAAGGGTGATGATGGGTTCAGTGATGTTGCGCACTGGGGTATAATCTGGAATCTGCCACACCTGGGGCGGGGGTGGGGTGGGGGGAGATGTGGCGGTGGGAAGTGGAGCCTGCTTTGTCCCTCCTACTTCCTGCACCCTCCCACACCCCTGCACCCTTACCCCTCCCCGTACCCCTCCTCGTCTCTGGACTATCCATCTCCCTTGCCCTTTGCCCTTCCCCCTCTCCCAGCACTCCTCCCTCTCTCCTTGCACCTCTCCTCTCTCCCAGCATCCCCCACCCACACTCCTTGAATGATAACGGTTAACTCATAACAAGTTAGAGGATGGAGTCAGCCAGGGAAACAGCAGCTGAGAGCCAGGAGAGGGCACTGCTAGCACTGGGAGATGGCCACCACTGCAGGAACACTTCCGTTTTCTGGCCCCTGCTTGGCAGGCCCCAAGCTGGCCCTGGCTATTATTAGCCGAGTGCATCCTGGGAGAGGGTGAGGATGGTACTAAAAATAGCCTGGAGGCCAGGGAGAGCAGGGCAGGGCTGGGCAGCAAACCTCCCTCACCCCCTTCCCAGCCCCTACTGCATCCACCTACCATGACAGTGGTGTCATCTGAGGCACTGGCGATGACGTTGTCATTGTGCGGACACCAGTCAATGTCTAGCACAGGGGCTGTGTGCCCAGTGACCAGAGGGTGATTCTTGTCCACTCGCCCTGTCTGTGGGGGGGGGGGTCAGAGAGGGAGCTGTGGGGCCACTCTCCTCTGTTCAGGCAGAGAGGACTGTGGGGCCCACTGACATCTCATTCTCTACCACCTATTTTCCTTGTTTTTTTGGCCCACGCCCAGCAGTGCTCAGGGGTTACTCCTGGCACTTTGGGACTCAGTGCAGTGGGGGATGATGTCAAGCCTCCAGCATGCAGAGCATGTGCTCTGGACGGCCAGCTTTCCAGCCCCCTATCACCAAGATTCTTCTTGCAGATCTCTCAGTCATCTCCCGCCTGCTCCTCAAATTCCTGAAGGTGGACAGTGTTGAAGTCATTCGGAATCGAGGCATCAGACAGAGAAGGAAGATGACAACCAAACACATAGCAAGGTCCTGGCAGAGACAAGACTTGAACTCTCACTCCAGTGCTTTTCAAAATAACACCTACTTGGAGGAGGCTGTTCTTGGGCCTGCTCCCCGAACTGGGATGTGGGAAGCCCCTGGTGGGAGAGATCAAGGTGAAGTGGTAGGCAGCACCGGTGCCCACACTATGTCAGTCTCCCCCGAAAGGTCTCCTTGTTGGCTTTGCTCTCGCACCGCATGCAGCTGGTCTGTGCCTGTGCAGCCCTGCCTTTATGGGTGCCCATCTATTTTTGGTCATCCTGAGCTGTTTGTGGGGGCTTAGAGGTCTCTACAGGGGTTGGCGTGGGCCCAGGCCAGGGAGTGGGGGGAGACCTATGGCAGGACTGCAGTCACCCTGGGAGGTGACTGAGGAGGCACTGCAGCTGAAACCCGAGCCTGGATAGTGACCTTGAAGGGTGTCTGCATTGTCTGCCAGTGAGTCACTGACTATTGTCAGGCATCTTCCTGATCTGCCACCTGCAGCTCTCCCTGCTAGGGTCAGGACCCAGGTCAAGGTCATGCCTTGGGGCACTATCTTGGAGACAGGTGCCAGTTGTCTGACTCCCACCTTAGGGTCCAGAGTGCTTCAGTCTCCAGGGTCAATGTCTTGCTGCCCTCATGCTCATTCTGCCCCCTTCAAGGACTGTGGAGGGAGGGAGATACAGTCCTCCCCTTTCCTCAGTGTGACCAAATCCACGCTCACACTAGTTCAGGGGGAAGGTCCCTCACTCTTAGGGGGAAAGACGCCTTTGGAGAGGTGGCACAGATCTGGCCAGGCCCTGGCTCCCTCCACTGCATCAGCCCCTCCCTGTGGCTCCTGGGAACTGGAGCTTCAGGACAACAGGGAGGAGGGGAACCGCCCAGCTGCTCACTGGGCACAGGAAGCCCATCCACACAAAATGCCCGCATGAATGAGGAAAGGAATCAGGTCAGGGCACAGGCAGCTCTCAGGGTCCCCTGGGGTCACTGCCAGTGTTCTGCCATCTGTTTTTTTTTTTTTTTTTTTGCTCTCTGCGTCACACCGGATAATGCTTAGGGGTTATTCCTGCACTCAGGAATTGCTCCTGGCAGTGCTCAATGACCATTCAGGATGTGGAAGATCAAACCCGGGTTGGCTGCCGTGCAAGGCAAATGCCCTACTCTCGGTACTGTCGCTCATGCCCCTCCCCCATCTTTCTGTCCGCTGCCCCTCACCTTGACCAGTGGCAGGACGATGAAGGCGCCCCCACCTCCAGCCTCCACAATGATAGCCAGGAATTTGGGGTTGACGGCACAGAAGGAGCTGTCCCACGTGACCTTGGACACCCGGATGTCCTCATAGGCCTGGTCTGCCTTCGCTGCCTGCCCGAACACATGCCGGAACTTGCTCTGCCGGACCACGCGCCGGCTCATGGTGGGGCCCAGAAATGCCTTTGGTCCTTAGATCTGTGAGCTGTGGAGGGGGCAGGAGTGGGTGGGGCGAACGTGAGGAGCATTGTCTGGCTAATGTACTCTGGGGAGGAGATGCTCTGAGGAGTGGGAGCTTCTCTCCAGGTCACCAGCACCTGGAAAGTGTGGCTGCATGTCGGGGGCGGGGCCTGGCTTCCCCTTAGAGACTCTGATTTGGCAGTGGGGCACAGGTGAGCTTCCTAGAAGTTGAGTGGTTTGGGGCCCTCCGGCTGCCAGTTTTGGATGAGCATCTTTTCTAGGGGCTGGGTTATCTTCTGGGACACCTTCTTCGCAGTTGCCACCTCCCCTTCCTTCTCTGTTCAAGCCCAGCTTGAGGGGCTCAGGAGCTGCAGCTCCTCCAGGTCCTACACTTGGTATCTCTGGTAAAGTTCAGGCAAACCAGCTCTTGCCTTTTTCTAATAATTTGCCCAAAAGAAGTTCCTTCAGTCAGAGTTGCTCGACCAATTCCTCAAGTTTCCTCCCGTTCTGTGGGTTGGACATGGCAGAAGGGGGGATCCCCTCCAACACCCGGGGACTCCTGGATTTTGCCTGCCACACTCCGGAGGCTTCTCGTGGGATGTCTGTCCCCCACTAAACTGTGGGCGCTGGGAAAAGTGGGGTGTTCTTCCTCCAACTCAGGCTGGCGCCGCCCCCTTCCCCACCGGGCACGCGGAGATTCTCCAAAACCGGGCCCCTGCGTCCCGCCGCTCCCCAGTGCGGGCAGTCCTGTGCCCTTCACCCGCGCCCGCGGCCCCGCGCCCGCGGCCCGGCTCCCCGCACCCGCCTGCTGCTTCGTGCCCGGGTAATGCGTTCTTTCCAGACGAGGTGTCTGCGCCCTCCGGGCGCGCAGCCCGCTGTCCGGCCAAATATAGCCACCGAGGCCACGCCGCCCGGGACCGAATGTGGCCGTGGTGGGGGGAAGGGGGCGCAGACCTCGGTTCCCTCGGGAGACCCCCTCCAGCTCCGGGGCGGTGGTGGCGTGCGTGTGCACAGGTGCGTGCGAGCGCGTGGATGGGGGCTACCTGGTCTCGAGCAGGTTCCGGGGCGCCCACGCTGCGATTCTTCTGCGGAGCGGACGGCGGGTGCGCCGGGGGCTGGGGGAGGCGCCGGGGCGCCGGCAGTGCCCCACTGAGCGTCGGCGGCGTCTGGGGCCGGGACTGGGCTCCGCTCTCCGGCCGTGCCCGAGGCTCTCAGGGGCCCGGCGCCGCTGCAGTCCCAGCTGCCGCTGCCATCAACCTGTGGGGGCGGGGCCTGCCGGGGGCGTGGCCCGAGCGGCCCCGCCCCCGCCCGCGGCGGGAAAGACGAGCTGGGGGCCGCGACGCCTCGGAAAAGCTGCGGCCGCCCAGGCCCGAGCTCGCTCCCGCGTCCGCTCCGCGTCTCCGCGGCCCCCGGGTCCGCAGCCGCTCAGGATCAGGTTTGGTGCCTGCGGCCCCCGCGTTCCCGTTAGAGCCGGCCCGCCTGCTCAGAACACCGCTTTGGAAATAGTGCGGGCCTGGGATATGCCTCCGTAGAACCGTCCCAGGTCTTGGATGAGGACTCAGGCTGGCCCATATCTGGGGCGAGGGTTCTGCACGAGGAAGTTTGCATGAACGTTATGGTTACCAATATTGAGAGGAACCACTGGAGAACTTGAAACGCTGGCAGTGTGTTAAGCATTTCACCCTACTAGGTTGGATGCCAAGGAGCAGCAGCCTGAGGACCAGGGAGGGGGCAAATGAGCTCACCTTGACGTCTGGGAACACTAGGTTCAAGGGACAGCGTCTGGCATAGGATTTTGGTCAACCTGACTCCTGAAATCTGGGCCTTGTTTGAATTGGTGCTTAACTGTGTGTCAGGGAAGCAACGGTTGGCGCCAACACTGCCCTCCTTAGAATATCTGGATCTAAATATTGATTATGGTTAAGGAGATTAAAATAAACCAGTTCAAAGCACAGCAAGTGAAGATAGTCCCTGTAGCTGTTGTCTACCTAGTGGTGCTCACTGCTTGAATTTCTCCCCGCTTTTTTTGGTGGAGGTAGAGGTAGGGTGTTGGGCAGTGCTCAGGAGTGACCCTAGTGGTGCTCAAGGGCCATATATGGTGCTGGTCCAGCCAGCCACATGCCTGCAAGGCAAGCACCTCACCTCACCTCACCTCACCTCACCTCACCTCACCTCACCTCACCTCACCTCACCTCCTGTATTCTCTCCAGCCCTGATTTTTTTGCTGTGGATCCTAAAGTTGGAGGCAGCATGAGGCCTGAGATAACCACTGGGGGTAGGGGTTGGGGGAGAGGTAGAAGCCACCAAAGTTCCCATGAGCTTGTTTCTTAGGCATCCAAGTTATTAGTGGTTTGTAGGGAAACAGTATTAGAAACAATTCCAAAAACAATTCATGGTAGTGAGATGTTATTAGGGTAGATGGAGAGCTTCCTTTTTACTTAAAGATTCCAGGTGACTTCCATAATAGCAATAGAACACATTTAATATGTACCAGACAGTATTTTAAAAGATCTGCACATCTTAGCTCCATTCCAATAAGGGTACTATCACCACTCCTATTTTACAGGTGAGGAAATTGAGATAATAAAGGAACTTAGCTAGCATGCAAGAGGAACTTAGATTTTTATTTATTCAGGGCCTTGGGGTCATACAGTGTCATGCTTGGGTGGGGGGGTCACTGACGGTGTTTGGGGAATCATGAGGCACCTGGGATGGAATCAGGGTCGGCTGCATGTAAGGTTATTTTTAACATTATTATTATTATTATTATTTTTTGGGTCACACCTGGTGATACTCAGAAATTACTCCTGGTGGTGCTCTTGGGACTATGGGGGATTCCAGGGATGGAACCTGAGTTGGCCACGTGCAAGCAAATGCCTTCCCTACCGTACTATCACTCTGCCCTCAGTTTAGGTGACTTGATTCCTATGCCACCTCTCTGGCTCAGGAGTTTAGCAGATGCCTTACCCGAGTGGCTTGGCCTCTGGGGCCATGTTTTCAGCACCAGGCATTTTTGCTTCTGCAGTGCCACTTTCTCTCAGGGGTTGGCACTGAGTTCTACTCTGAGACACAAGGGAGGAGAAGCTTTGAATAATTAGGAAAAGAGTGGGGCGGGCGCTCAACACCTGGCCTCTTCATCTTTTTGTCACTCTGGTGTATAAAATGAAAAGGGAAAAGTCAGATTCTTTCCAACTGAGCTATAAAGGGCCTTCCCATACTGCTTTTTGCCTTAGCACACAACATCTTTTCATCTTCCTCTCCTTTCCTCCTTCAGAGAGAGCGAGAACTTCAGTGTAGTGGAAAGGGCCTGGGAATAAGAGGGAAGAAACCTTCAATCTACCCCACCTTCAGTTCTATCATCTGGGAAAGTGGGTACAGAAGCAGGGGTGTATAAGATTGTTTGGGGCTAGCAGAGCTTAGCTCAGTTGTTACAGCATTCTTCCAGATGCCAGAGCTTGGCAGGGCTGTGGGTAGGTGGAGTCAAGGCTCCAAGAACCATTGCTGTTACCCATTTAGACTGCCAGTGGGTCCTCAACCACAATCTATAAAAGATAGGGATAAATTCCATTTTCATTTTCTGGAAGAGGTGGTCTGGCACCTTAGGCATAATTTGCTTTGTTTGCTTTGGCCAGAAAGCTAAGACAGGACTTATCTAGACTAGTTTAGGGACTCCAGGCACCTCTAGACTATTTTGTGAAATGATTTTGCCTTCTTTACCCTGCATACCAATGAGACCAGAGGTGTGACCCCACCAATCCGATTTAATATGCAAGATTCAGAATGAAGTGGTCTGATTTCAGTTCCAGGCAGGTTCACTCCCTCCCTCTAGAAATAAGCAAACTGTTTCGCTTTTAATAAATTTGTCATTTGGACACCATGTTTTCCCTAGACAACAGTGCTACCTTGCCTGTGAATGGTATCAATATGTCTTCTCTGCAGGTGGGTTGAGAAGCGGGGAACCATCTGCCACTGTTTTAAAGACCAGCTCCATGCATTTTGAAGAAAAGTCCCATCTCCCTTTTTCTACCATTGATGTCCCAGTTTTCTAATGGGAGAAGATTAAAGCTTTCACCTTGTTAGAGTCATGTCCCATTTCTAGAAAGAAATCTTTCATGGTGCCTTGTGCTGAAAACTTGTGAGTGCAACCTTACTAATGTCCAGAGAAGTCACCACTAAAGAGGGCAGGTCATGGCAGCTGTCAGAGCGGTCACTTTGCACCACAGATGGCAGAAGAATTTCGGTTCCTTTGCTTATTCATTCCCCTAACATTTAGGTGGAGGTTTTGGCAAGAGCCTTTTGGATCAGGTTTGGTTGTAGCCACACTGCCTAAAATAATTTTCAGTGATCCTATTTCTTTTTGTGGGAAGGAGAAAACTATGTAAGTATTATTAGATCTTAGCTTTTTGCTAAGGTATATATGATGATCATCAACCAATGAGAATGGCTCCATGTTGAAGGTCACTGTTCTCTTCCAGCACCCCCACCCTCTCCATCACCCCCTTTTCCTTATAGCACTTGACAAAGCACACGTTTCATCTTCAAAATAAAAATTTATTCAATCTGTAACAAGAACATTGAATCTGCACATTTGCGCACAAGTTCACATTTAAAAACAGCGGAGCACATCAGTAATAAAAAAATCTATGATACAAGTGGAACATCCCGACCACCAAGAAGATTAAGGAAGGAGATGAGACCACTCTTTATATTCTGCTTCAAATGCCTCAAAAAGGTCCCAGAGATTCCAGGGAGCACCTGCTTTATTTAATAAAATGTGAGCATAAAAGTTTGGGGTAGCCTGGGGCAAAGGTAACAGTCAGTGGGAGAGTTTTGTGGACTTGTTTTCCATATTTAAAACAAGCCCTACAAAGAAAGGCTATTAAAAAAAATAAGAAAGGAAAAGAAAAGGCACCTTAAGCTATGCCAAGCAAATCAAAATCCAATATAACAAACAATTTCCTGTGGGCTTATTGATTGGGAATCACTCAGGGCCAGTTCTGCAGTTTTCAATTTGGGCATCAGCTCTTTCTGTGCACATAGGATGCTGCCCCCAGTGCTACTGTGGGGATGAAGATGGCAGCACTAGCCACACCTCCAGGGGGCAACTTCAAGTTGATGAAGGACAATTCCAGTCTAGAAAGCCTGTCCTAGATCTCTGGGGTAGAGAAAGTGAGGCTGGTGCTGTTTTCACAAGAGGAGCCCAGTCACCCTCCACTCCAGGCTGGAAAGGCACAGAAGCACCTGGCATTGGCTCTCCATGGCATCGAGGGACCCCGTCCCTGGGAGAAGGGTAAGGAGTGTGAGCCTTCTGCTTTCGCAGAAGGTTTTTTTTCCAAATATGGGCGCTGGTTGAGTTGAAGCAAATACATTTATGCCAAGGCATGCCTTGATCTTTTTTAGTTTGGCAGGGAAAACAAAGCCCAATGTGGTTTTAGATTGGTGCTGAAAGCGCTAATATTTCATCTCATCTATTATCAAAAAGCAAAACAAAATGAAAAAACGATACTAGTCATTCACCATTATAACCATCACTAGAAGCCACCATCACTGAGGAAAGGACTATTTGCACACAAAGTGTTGGAGGGGAGTGCAGGACACGGATGGAAGCTGGTTCCAGGGTTCCCCGCTCACCCCCCCAGGGCTGATCACCACATGGAGGACAGACAGGACAGCCAGTGCGGGTGCCTGGAGGGGCAGGGGAGACTGAGCGGCTGTCAAGATGAGGAACATTTTAATACTCACAATGTAAACAAAGTATCCACAAAATAGCTGTCCAAAAAAGAAAAGAAAAAAAAGCCAACTTATGGCTTTATTGAAATAAAAAAAATGCCCTTATAAGTGACCCTTTTTGCATAATACTTTCTTGAAAGGAAAAAGATAAACAATCGTCACAAAAACGTCTTTACCAAACATGCTTAGATCACTTCGGAACTGAAATTCTCTGATGAAACAGGCAAAGATTTCCATGAAGTCTACCCCAAAGCATCTGTCTGGGATCCTTTATCAGGAGGAGACCTCAGAGCTTGGGCTGGCATCCTCAGGCTGTCCTTGGAGCTTGTGGTAGTTCCCAAAATGAGAAAGAGGAATTACCAGTTGGGATAAAAGTACAGAGTCAGGAAAATGCTAAAGAGCCCGAAGAGGCTGAGATGCTAGGAATGATCCCAAACATTCAGAATCTGAAAGGCAACCAAAATGAGGAGAGATGACTATTACTATACTATAGCACTACTGTCTCTATAGTACACACTATTTCTTTGTGTGTCTAAAGAAAGGATTAGGGTTTCTCACCTTCCTATTGACCAGTAACCACCCAAATGACAGCTCACAACATGTGTGCTCCTGGCTCTACACAAAAATGTTAATTTTCACTCTCTCTCATTCACTCACTCTATCTCTCTCTCTCACCCTCTCGCTCGCTAACCTTTAGAGTAACTGAGTCAAACCAGGATTTTCAAAATAAACAGAGAAAGGCACTGAGCAAGAGTTCCAGGCTTTTCAGTCTACCAAATCTGCTGTTCTGAGTTGGGTTTTTTTTCCAGAAACAGAAGAGGGAAAAAGGCCACTCAAGATTATAAAAAAGGTTGAAAAGACAAAAGTTGGAAAAGTCCTTGAGAGTTCATTATGTGATTTCATAGACATTGCTCAGCTAGTTAAAACAAAATAAAACAAACAAAAAAAAAAACCCCAAACCAAACCAAACCAAATCAAACCAAAAAAAAAAAAAAAAACCCAATCGTGGGAATTTGAGAGGGCAGGTGAAAAAACCCCATGGCATGGCTGAACTATATAGGACCCTGCTAAGAGAATGTTTATTTAGGCAGGTAAGTGAAATAATAATAATAAAAAAAAAGAAATAAAGGGGAGGCAGAGCAAGACTATTTCTTTCACTCTTCAAAAAGTCTTTCTTCACAGCATTGGAGGATGTCCTCATTATTATTTAATGCAGTAAGAGTAAGCATTAAACACAGTAGCACGGAAGAACAGAGCAGTGGAATACTGTTGATTCTACTTGGATTTACAAGGGATATGGCCACCTCAAGGGGTTAACACAGGTAGGTAGGGAGCACTCTCTTAAAAAAGCCTCCTGCTACATGACAATTTCTGTGCCCCCTACCCCCAGCCAATCACACTGGTGGTTAAACTGTTTCAATGAGACAGGGCAGTATAGATGCATGAGCCCTGTCAATTCCTAAGCCTGTCTTGCAAGACTCCTCACGCTGTTACACAGCATCTAAGAAAACACCACCTGATCCTGCAGTCACTAAGTTGTATGAATGGTACCTCTGAACATTGAAGGACATGAGGGACAGTCACATGTCACTACTATAGCACAAAAATGTTTAAGTAGGTTTCTGTCTAACCCGCCTCCTAACAGTGATGTCATACCTGCCTTGGCTCTCGCTTAAACTCACACTTGTGATGGGGCTCAGCCCAACTTCTCTTTCTCCTTTGGGTCACTTACTCTCTGTACCCACAAAATTCTGGCCTCTGACATCACCTTGCAGTCTCTGTATCTGCCTCCTCTCACTGTTGTCACGAGCCCAAACCCTTCATCTCAAGTCTGTTCTTGGTCAACCAGAAAAATGACAACTCTTCCAGCAATAGCCAAAACACACAGGAAGAAAACTTGCAAATCTCTTCAATTTTGATGAGCTGCAGAGGGGGTTTCATTCTAGGCTAAATATATTTTCTGTAAGAAGCGGAAATTGGCTTATTTATAGGCTTTTTTATTTATGGCAGATGCTCCTGTGTTAAGGATCTTCACAATAGCAGCAAAGCAACAGCATCCTAAATGGACTCAATTAAGGGCCCTGCCCTTGGCCAAGTCTCCCCAAAGCTTCCATTAGGAGTTTCCACTGCGGGAGGGCGGCATGGGCGCACTTGTACACACTCCCTCGAGGTGGCTGAGCTACCAGCAAACAACGTTCTGGGTTTTTTTAAGTCTCAAAGAGAAATCACACTTTATTCAAACTGATCTAATGGGAGCCTCTAGGGATTTCTCTAAGGAGGAAGTTACTAACACATAATTTGGCAGGAGCTGGCGATTAGAAGTCTTCATTTAAACAATTAAAATCACCATCAATATACTCTGCAGATTCCTACCAACACTCATCAGTTTTATTTCTGTGGTGTCTGTTTCTTTTCCAGTTGCAGCTTTACATCTTATTAAAAAAGAATAAAAAGACCTTATAACATCAATGACAAAACATTGTGAAAGATTGACATTATGTACATAAACACTGTGCATGAACCAGAAAAATGACAACTCTTCCAGAAAGAGAGGGGGGAAAAAAAGAACCCCTTATGTCAAGTGTTAACAGTGATAATATCAAAAAGAAAACTTTGCATTCAATGGAGGTTATACATATGTAACAATTCAAATATCTATGAAATTAAAAAATAAAAAGGCAGTACTAGGATAAACAACATGAGGGAAGAAAATAAAATGAAAAAAAAAAAAGGCCATTAAACTCTGAAGGCCCACTGAATTATTCAAGTAATGGAAGGGTTAAAACCCTACAGATGTATTCATTTTACAAGAACACACAGACTTTCAATTGCTGTTTTTCAAACGTATCCCAACGTGTTTAGTTGGAAGGGTGCTGCTGAGCACATTCCCAGGTGGGAGAGGGGATGGGAATGATCGTGGAGCTCATCAGAGGTCCAGGAAGATACTGGGGCGGCAGCCTCTCTGCCTCCCACTTCCGCCTCTCCGTTTCCTTTTTATTTGGTTTTTGGATCACTCCTAGCTGTGCTCAGGGGACCATATGGGGATTGAAGGTGGGTCAGTTTCATTTCGTGCAAGGCAAGCGTCCTACCTATTGCACTACTGCTTGGGCCCCTCTTCTCAATCTTTTAAGCCCTCCTCTACAGAGGAGTTCTTGGATTCAATTGGCAGCTTGGTTTTAATTAAAAAAAAAAAAAAGATTTGCTCAGGGAAAGGAACCTATTTCCTTGATAGCCAGTTATCATGCTTTCCTGTACTGAGATAGCTGGAAATACCTGAAGAAATGGAGCCTAGAAGATCCCCGTTAGAGCAAAGCTGATCACTTCTGGAACACCAAGAGGCTGGGCCCGGAGGTTGAGTGTTCTCTCGTGTCCCGCTGTCCTTCAGCCCTACAAATGCATCAGGTCTGGAACCAAACCATCACCACACAGGCCCTGGCGACCATTTCCAATCTCCTGCTCCAGTGTCCCCCCTACCCATCTGCTTCCTTCCTCGCTCCAGCAAGCAGCCTTTCCTCATGGCGAAAAGAGGGGCAGGTGGTAGCTGATTGAAAAACAGCAATTTATTTGCCTTTGAAAAAGGTGTTTCTTGAAAATGAGCTTTCGTTGAGGTTTGAATTTTCTACAAATGAGAATATGGTCTCGCTGTTCAAATCTCTCTTTTTCTCTCTCAATCTCTCTCTTGCATACGCACATACACTCATAGTCATCCAGAAAAAGACCCAAACCCTGCATGCGCCAGGAACAGTAAAATGACCAAAATATTATAAAAATTAACCAATAAAGTGCATATTCCTTACATATTACACCTGCCCCTTTTACAAGGATTTAAGAAAGTCACATGTGTAGGCTCAGAATCAAATGGTATTATAGAAGGGGTTGGCTGTCCGTTTTTTATCATTTGCCTTTTTCAGTCTTCGAAGGGGGTGAGTTCTGCCATGCTGCTGACGAGGGGCCACAGCCAGCCCAGGAGCAGGGCGTGCGCCCAGCAGCCCCTGGGTCTGCAGCAAGGGAAGGCCTCCTTCAGAGCTAGTCAATTCAGGCCCTGCCCTGGGGGGCAAACACTGCTTACTGTAACCAAATTCTTTGGCATACTGTACCAGGGGCTTCTCCACTGGCTTGCTCTGCGCGATACACTCTGTTGTTTTGAGTTGCTCTACAAAATACTTAGTGGGCTCTGGGTTCTGGGAGGCATCTGTGTTTTGGGGGGGCTCTGGGCCCACTACAGTGTGCATGCCTGAGTCTGTTCTGACGAAGGGCTGAAGCAGTTTGAGATGAGGGGCCTCGGAGCAGACACACTCCCTTTCTGGGAGACAGTCTTTACACAGGTCCAAGTAACCTAACTTGGCGAGGGACATGGAACGCTTCATTTGGGACGGTTTGGGGAGCCCTGCCTGGCAAACCACCCGGGACTCGATTTCCTTAGTGCGCTCCTTCACCATGCCGGGGCTGTGGCTGAGACCCTTTAGACTGTCACTACTAGAGCTGTGTGGGAGTGGCTGGGCTCCAGGGGACGGGTCCAGTTTTTCTGCTAAGTCCTCGATACTGTCACCCAGTTTGCTAATTAAACTTAGGTCTTCACTGCTTAACAGGGAGCCCATGGAGGGTGTCTCTTTGCCCCCAGAAAGGAGCGCCTCGTGCCTGCCTTCCCCGAAGCCTGGCTCTGTGGAGGGCTCGCTGTCTGTGGTGCTGCTCTGCTCCGTGAAGCCTTCCAGGTGAACCACAGTCTGGGGGTGTAGGTAATCCAAACTGGCAGACGGCACATGGGTTGTGTGACTGACAAAAGGTGCTGCTGTGTCCCGCGCGGCTGGGGGGCCGTGGCCCCCATCTTCGGGGTTGCTCAAGGTGGGGGGCGGCTCAGTGCACCTGCTGTGCTCGGGGGAGGAAGGAGGTGGCCGAGGTAGCACGTGGGGCTGCAGAGAAACCTGCTGGGGACCTAGAGTCTGGTTCAAATTTTCATCCAGGGCACAGACAACAGTGATGGTCTTCTCCACTTTCACCTTCCTTGTTGCTTGCTCCCCACTCTTTTCAGGGGTGGCTATGTCACCCCTCATGCCTGTGTGATCTGGCGACGTCACCGTATGGGTATACTCAATGATTTCTATCTTCTTGGGCAGGGGGACAGGGACAGCCCATGTGTCAGACCCCTGGCAGGAAACTAGAGTCCTCTGCTCCTTCAAGACGTCCTCTTGCTTGGTTTTAGTATCTAGCCCTGGGCTCTCCTGGGGGACTGGTAAGGGGTAAGAGGCCTGCAGCTCGGTGGTGGGGACAAAGGCATTTTGCTCAGAGTCGGGGAGTGAGCCAGACGCCGCCCCACCACATTTCCCTTTGCTCTTGCTCATCTCTAGTTCCTTGGGGGCCAATGAATGTTCAAGGGTGGCTTCATCACTCTTCCCTTTTAGTGCGAGGTCTGCCACAGAAAAATCATTCTTGGAGTTCTTGCGAGTGGACAATGAGGTACAAGCAGAGGCAGTACCATGGTGCTCTTGCTCCTGCCGCAACCGCTCCTCAAACTCCAAGGTGGCTCGTCTGACAGACCCAGGGCACCACTTGGCACTGGGATGCACCCCTTGGCCCCCGAGCTCTTGGTCCCCCTCTGCTGCTTCTTCCTCTTCCAAGTCTGTGGATGAGTGCGGGATTAGGCAGCCTTCAGGGTCCCCCTTTCCTGAGTCTTTGGCTAGTTCAGGCTGGGTGGGACAGGAATTGTCATTCTGCTCCATATTTCCAGGTTTGTTTTCCAGGGTCTGGGCCTTCTCAAGGGGCAGCTCTTGGACACAATTCTTCTTTGGTGTGTGGCAAGGATTGGAAGGGATGTCTCCTTTCAGTTGAATCTGCCCAACTCCTTGACTGATGGATTCAATCTCAGTGATGATTTCTTTGACTGAAATTGCATTTTCTGAGTGAGATTGCATGAAGATGTCAGGACTGACCAGTTCTGGGATTGCCTAAGAAAATAGTGAGATGGTTATGACAAGCTGTAGTCGAACGGAAAATGTGACATTTTTTTTACTCATCAATCTTCTGATCCAGGAGAACCTATCTGGCTATGAGCATAAAATCGAGTGCAAAGGGACTGTCCTTTGCCTGGAACTGTATCTAGCACATCTGTTTTGTTGTACAAGGGGGAAAAATAAATTCATCAAATGCAGAAACACAAAATTCATTACAGACCGTGTCCTTGTCTACTCAATTTTCTGTTCTGATTACTCAAACAGGATTCCAATCTACTATTTTACTCCAAAAAAGAATAGCCAATAGGGCCGGAGCAATAGTGAGGAGGGCGTTTGCCTTGCATGCGTCCGACCTGGGTTCGATCCCCGGCAACCCATTTAGTCCCCTGAACACTGCCAGGAGTAATTCCTGAGCATCACCGGGTGTGACACAAAAAGGAAAAAGAAAAACAGCAAATAGACACAGAGGATCCCATAATCTTTCTTTTCCTGAGACTTTGAGTTTTTAGGATTTAGGTCATATTGGAGCAGATAAAATCTTTCCTCTATAGCCTTTCAAGATCCAGCAGTTTGAACCTAATTTAGTCTGAAGAAAAGAGCTCCATTCAAGGCTCACTCTCCACCTTAAACATGGACGTTTTGAAGGCAAGACAGCTGATGCTATCATCTCATGTCTGACTGGGAAGCTCACTGCTTTCTTCTCTCCTGTCTTGCATCCTTCCATCCATATCCTTTCATTGCTTCTCCCAGCAAGAGTGTCCCAGCACATGAAGGAGACATTAGTCACTTAGCTGCAAAAGATTTACTTGGCTTCTGCAGCTGTGTGCCTCAGCAAATTTAGACACCACGTCTGTTATTTTACTATTCCTCCAAGTATGAATTCCCAAATGGATTCAGAACTAGATCAGTCAAAACTGGCCAAGGCAAAATCTAGTGTTATTGTAAAAACACCGAATTTTAAAATCTGGAACTGGCTAGTGGACACCTCTTAAAACAGCATTTTTATGATCAGTGATATCCTTTGTTAATTTTTTTTTTATAAGGCTTCATTCACAGTGTTTCTCTAGGAACTGTTCTGATCAAAATCCTAAGAAGTATCAGAACTAGAACAAGGACAGTTATGCCTCTTGGGGAAATGACTCCATCAGATAGAGCCAAATCTGCCAAGACTGGGAGAGAAGCCACCCTGGGTGCATGTGTTCATGGGCTGTGGAAGTAGTCTATACCCATCTAACCAGGGACTCTGCAGAAAAGCTATTTTTGTCAGAGCTGCTACACACCCACTGGTTCAAAGGAGAGCTCAAGCATTCTGATTTCCTAGGAGAAATGAAATAGAGCAATATGGCTTTTGGGGAGAAATGATGGAACCAGACAGAGGCAACAACTATCCTGAGGAAGTTATGAAGAGAGGAGCAAATGTATAACGGACAAGGTGGTTAAGCAGAAACACAGCCGGAGCTGTCTAAAATCTAGTCTGGTTCACTGAGATCAGTCAATGAAGTTTGGTATGTAAGTCCATTGCCATTTAATTCCCAATACTACTGTACCATACTCATCTGTGATACTAGTGTGTTTCAAGACATATTCCAATTTCAAGTGTCAAAATAAGTGTGAGTCTTAGAATGATTAATATACAGGAATTCTTTTCTTGGTCTCATTAGAGCTTATATGCAACTCATAAGAATGTTGGGGTGGCTGGAATGATACTACAGTGGGTAGGGCATTTGCCTTGCACATGTATGAATTTGGGTTTAATCCCCAGCAACCCATATGGTCCCCTGAGCACTGCCAGGAGTAATTCTCGAGTGTACAGCGAAGAGTAAACCCTGAGCATCACTGAGTATGACTAAGAAGAAAAAAAAAAGCAAGAAGAATCTTGAGCTTCTCTCTGTTGAAAAATCATACCTAAATTTCTGAAAATCACAAGATCTGAGCTGAAGAACAATTGAGAAACGTTCTTAATAGTAAGAACTCTGTATAAGAAAACAGTTGCTACTTAGGACTGGAGAGATTATATAGAGCTGATAGGGTGCTTGCCTTGCATGTGGCTGACCTGGGTTCGATTGCAGGCACTGCATATGGTCACCTGAGCACTGCCAGATGTGACTTAAAGCCAAAAATCAAAAACAAAACAAAAACAAAACAAAACCATAAGTCAAAAACCAAAAGCCCCCCAAAACCTACTCTCCCGCCAAAACCCAAAAGCAAACCCCCAAAATATCCTGAAAAAGGCAAACGTCCTACTGCTGTACTATCACTACAAATTTTCTTTCTTTTTCCTTCCCTTCAGTTTTTGGGCTATACCTGGTGATGTTCATGGATTATTCCTGGCTCTACTCAGGAATTACTCCTGGAGGTGCTTGGAGGGAGGACCATATGGGATGCTGGGGATCGAACATGGGTCGACCACATGCAAGGCAAATGCCCTACTCACTCTACTATCACTCTGGCCCTCCCTCTGGCCCATTCTTTGAATTTTCTGTGATAGAATTTCCCAAAGATATCCAACTTCTCACAGCCACAGATTTTACTCAGGCAGCATCTGATCCCCTTGTATGTAAAAAATATTTATTTATTTATTTATTTCTAGTGCCAGGGATTGAGCCTAGGACTTCACATGTGCGAGGCAAGTGCTCTACTGCTGTAATACATTTCCACCCTCCCTTGTAATTTATTATTGATAAGGTTTGATTTGAACTACAGAGGTCCAGAGAGGAAAATCCAAGTTGTTCAGCTAGGACATTTGTTTTGGCTAATCCTCCTTACCGTTAGCCCCCTTGAAGAAGTGCTTCCAACAATACAAAAGCATGGAAAGAGAAATTCCTCAAAAGGAACTGATTTACAAAAAGTTTCAAGGGAAACTATTTCTAGGAAAGTATGAGACTGTCTTTTCACTTTGCCTTCCTAAATCTTCATCAATATAAAAAAAAAAACCCAAGTGACCATAACAGAATCCTAAATATTCTGTCTTCAAGTACAGTTGCATTAGGTGGAAAACTAGAAATAATTTTTACCTTTGACTGTTCCTCATCTATTGAAGATTCTTCAGATGCATGGGGAGTGTTACTCAGAGAGCTGCTTCTCTGGTCATCAGCAGTCCCTTCACAGGGGGCTACTTCTACTGACAGTCGACAGGTCTCACTCCTTCCTCCTCCCAGTTCCTCCATCCTTGAATGGGAAAAAGACCGGGACCGGGTTTCTTGGGAGAGCTCTACAAACTTCTCAAGGGCACTAAAAAAATCAATGCGATCTGTACTGAAATCTGAGACTTCAGCCTGGCAACTTGGTTGGGGGCTTGGTGACTCAGGATCAGGGGACATGGGAAGATCTTTCAGGCGAGATGTCAACTCTTCCATAGGCAGTAAGTGGACATTAATGTCTGCTTTCAGTGCGTCTGTCTCCAAGTCTTCCACTGTTAAGTCTGGGAACTTGCCGGCCATTTCTGGAACCTGTCCAGGTTGGATTAAGGCTTTGGATGCATGGCAGTTATCAAGAGGAAACTTTGCTTCATTCAGACAACACCCTGATGAGCATCCATTGATGTCATTTAGGTTTAATTCATCTTCAATCTGTCCAGCACGAAATTCCCTGGAAGTAAACTCAAAGCAGATCATTCTTTCTTTGGTACACAGGCCTTTCTGGTTTTCATCCTGTGGGACAATATGTTCCACAAAGACGGGAGGTATGGGTGGGTGACTCTCCATGGTCTTCACCTCAGTAATCTGGTCTGCGGAGGTGGTGATCTCCTTCTTATTCAGTTCCAGCCCTGGTTTGCACATGGGTTCATGGTGGTCTGAGAGGTCGCTGTCTGAATGAGATCTCCAGAGCTTGTTATGCCGTTGTTTGCTGTAGAGGACACACAGGAGACATTTTATTATGGTCTGTGAAAAATAATCAGCACCTTTCGAAAATCACTCCCAGATAAATCTGAATCATAAATTCTGTTTTTATTTATTTTTTTTGGGGGGGGCATACCTGGCTGTGTTCAGGATTTCTAGCTCTGTGCTCAGGGATCACTTGACTGTGCTTGGGGGAACAGATGGGGTGCTGGGTATCACAACAGATTGGCTGTGTGCAGGGCAAGGGCCTTACCTGCTATATTATCTCTCTGGCCTCTGTTTATCTTTGTTTTTGCTGCTGCTTGGTGGACTTTTGAGTTCCAAGATTAGGAATTGAACTGCGCACACAGCCTATGCCCAGCCCTTTGAGCGATCTAATGTGGCCCCAGAAATTACATAACCTTTAAGAGGGAAATCTGGCAATAGCTCTTTTTTTTTAAAAGCCCAGTTATGATAATGCTAAAGAGTCAGGTATTTCAGTGGAACGATTTTCGAGATATACCATTAAATGAAAAAGCAGCTGAACACACTGGGAATGGTCAATTCCTATCTTTTAGGAAGTACAGAAAAATAGCTCTAGGAACATTACAAAAAATTGGTATTTCTTTCAAAGAAGGCAGAAGCACTTTCAGGTAAAGCTTAATGTTCTATATCTTTTGCCTATATAATTTTTGAATTTAAAAATTGTATCTGACATTAACAACCAGAAAAATAAATCTAAAGCAAAACAGCTTCCAAGAAAGATAGACTCTACTGGTGCCTATTACAAACTAAAGTAGGATTTGATTCATCACTGATATGAAAGTGTGAGGATGAAAAATCATTCCCGAATTAGCACAGATGAGACAAGCAACAATGGAGGGAAAAAAGCTGGTAACACAGTGGAAGAGGATGAGTATAAAGTGCAGACCCTGACCAGAAAGTGCTGAGTAAAAGAACAGGTTAAGAGGCTGGAAAGATAGTAGAGTGGGTAGGGCGCTTGCCTTGTACACGGCCAACCTGGATTGAATCCCAGATGGTCCTCTAAGCCCCCACCAGGAATGACCCTGGAGTTCAGAGCCAGGAGTAAATCCTTAGCACTGCTGGGCAAGGCCGTAAAAACAAAACAACCCCCCTACAAAACCCAAGTTTAGTGAACACCTATAAAAGCAGGCTGGAAGACTGCAAGCACGCTCTTTTTATGGAGAAAAGGTTTGGCAAGAGGATAGAATTTCATTTCAAATCAATCTCACCCTCTGACTAGGAAGCACAGTCCTCCCTGCATAAACAACAAGGTGGCCCTATGGTTGGACAGGATCACAGCCAGGTCACTAAATGTGGTGTTTGGGGGTGTGGTTTCCCTGACTTACCAGATGATGAGGAGTTACCTAACTGTAGGGTGGAATGGGAAACAGCCCAAAACAACTTGCCTGGGGCTCCGGCCACGCCTGCCTTGGCGGCCTGAGAATCCCTGCCGAGTCATGCGCCTGCACTAATGTGAACCTCTGTTTGTTCTTGACTCTGCACCTGCTCCCTGGGTCCCCTGCCAGTCTGCTGTCTGGGTGGGGCTCTCTCTGACTCAGGCTTGAGAAAGGGTGCTTTTCTGGGTAGGAGGAGGTCAGTCTGTTTATGAAGACAAGCTGGAATCAATTAGCTGGGGGAAAGGCGGTACTTTCACCCTTTCCAAGCTGCACAAACTCTAGTCGCCCCTAGGAGGAGACAACATATCACACATCCTCAGAAATCTTGGGGAGGGGCAAGGCAGGGGCCAAGTTCCACACCGTGGCCAATGTGCTTTCCTTTAAAGTCTCTTCTCTCATATCCAAGCACCTTGTTTACTGACTTAAATACGATCCTGTTCCCCAGTTTCTTTCTTTCTTTTCTTATTTTTGGGCCATGCCCAGTGATGCTCAGGGATTACTCCTGGCAGTGCTCAAGGGACCATATAGGAGGCCGGAGACTGAACCCTAGGTTGGCCCCAGGGTGCGAGGCAAGTGCCCTTCCCACGTTCTAACACTGTTCTCCAGTTTCTATGGGACTGTTAAAACCTGCATCAAATCCCCTCAGTCACCATGGCAGGACAATTTCTGTGAGGGAAGTGACTGGTAAGACATCTCAGGGAGTAGCTGTTCTCACCCTTCTAATAATAAAAAAGAACAGTTTATCTTTTTCTGGTTTGTTTTTGGGCCACACCTGCAGTACCCAGGGGCTATTCCTGGCTCTGTGCTCAGGGCTGACCCCTGGCAGTGCTCAGGGGACAATGTGCAGTGCAGTGTGGTGCTGGTGCTGGCGATCTAACACTAGTGGGAGGCAGCACATTAGCCCCCCCCCCAATAATTCTTTTTGTTTGTTTTATTTCTGGGTTACACCCAGCAATGCTCAGGGGTTAATCCTGCTTCTGCACTCAGGAATTACTCCTGGCAGTGCTCAGGGGACTATATTGGGAACCTGCCAGAAGATGTTTTCTTTTCTTTTTTTCTTTTTTAAAAACTGCTTGCAAATCCCTTGTCAATCAGCGGGAAAGGAGAGACTAATGTTATGCTAAGAGGCACAAACAGTACAAGTTTCAGAGGAAGTGACTAACATCACAGTTGTGCTGCCCAGCAGGAATTTCCTATTCTTCCTGGGGGAGATAATCATCAGAAAATATTGCATCAAGAGGGCTGGGGAGATAGTACAGGGAATAAGGCATTTGTAGAAGACCCTGGTTCAATCAATCCCTCAAACCAAATATCCTGCACCTCTGAGTATGGTCGAACCGTCCCACCCACCCCAAGGCTCTGGACTTAAACAGACTTAATTGTAAAGGAGATGGAAACACCCAATCCAAAGATAGGGCTGATTCCACTATGTATTTTTTTTCCTTTTTATTTTTTTGGGCCACACCCAGCTGTGCTTAGGGCTTACTCTGGCCCTGTGCTCAGGATCACTCATGGTGGGCCTGGAGGGCCATATGTGGTGCTAGGAATCGAAACCTGGGTCTGCCGAGCGTAAGACAAATGCCCCACTCACTATACTATCACTCCAACCTCACATGGATCATTTCAAACTATAACTGTTCAAAGTTAGGAGGACGCTCCCCACCCCCTGACCCCGCACAGTTCAGTAAGATAGCAAGCAAGAAAACATATTGCCAAAAACTACTTCAGAGTTGGTATGTGGACTGTATGGTAAAACTAATCTCAGGTTCTTTCTCCCCTCCAGTGGCCTCTGATTCGAATTTGGATTCATATAAACAGACACACATAAGATCATGTTCTGGTAAGAATATGGTCTTGTATGTAACTTATTAATAAGAAGGATATTTAAATGATAAACACATATGAATGCATTCTCTTGCTTCAACTTTATTTGAGAAAATGATAGAGGAAAACACTGCTAAAAATGAATTATCAGGACCAAAGAGATACTATAGAGGATAAGGTGCTTGCCTTGTATGTGATGGGCCTAGGCTCAATCCCTGGCGCTTATGGTCCCCACCCCCAGCCCAGCCAGGCGTGATCCCTGAGCATAGAGGAAGGAGTAAGCCATGAGCACAGCAGGTGTGGCTCAAAACCATAAAAAACAGTATTAGTTCTAGTAAAATCATAGTTTATGATTACTTGGTAAGGTATGATGTGACCTGTAGAAAGAAAGGGAGAAGAAGCATCAAACAAATATTTTGTGTGTTATGCATGGTCCACAGTGTTTTAAGATGATTTAAATGAGTTGCATTGTAGCACTGTCCTCCCGTTGTTCATAGATTTGCTCGAGTGGGCACCAGTAACATCTCCATTGTGAAACTTGTTATTACTGTTTTTGGCATATCGAATATGCCATCGGGACCTTGCCAGGCTCTTGCCGTGTGGGCGGGATACTCTTGGTAGCTTGCTGGGCTCTCCGAGAGGGGCAGAGGAATCGAACCCAGGTCGGCTGCGTGCAAGGCAAACGCCCTACCTGCTGTGCTATTGTTCTAGCCTGATTTAAATGAGTTAAAAATTTTTTTTTGGTCACACATCCTCCTGGCTCTAGGAGCATGGATCAATTGTGGGAAGTTCAGGGACCACATGGGGACTGAACCCAGGATGGCTGTGTGCAAGGCAAGCACCTTACCTGCTGTACTATTACTGTAGCCCCAACTGAGAAGCCCTTAAGCCTCAATTTTGGGGGGGGTCACCTGGCTAGGAATCCATGTCCAATCATTCTCATATCCTTCCTAATTACTATGTACCAGTTAATGAGACCTCAATGTTGTCACCAGCAAAGCCAGGTTTAAAAAATAAACCTGCTCCTATTGGCACAGGTGATGAGACAGTCTAAGAATTAACACTGACATCTAGGAGAGCATATGGAATGAACTTCCATTGGCCAACATCCAGGAATTTTTTTCTCCTGTCCCCTATACACTGGAACTTAATATAAGACACAGACACATGGTCCAGCTAGCCAATGGCTGAAATCTAGCCAATGGAATATAAATCTGCCAGATACTTGCCTGATCAGAGTGCAGAACAACAAGCAGGGCTGCGGCAGTTTAATGGAGGATTTCAACAAACACACCCCCTTCCTCCTGCCTTACTCCCACCCCTCAGCTATGAAACAGAAAAAAAAGGAGATGCACAGCATCAGAGGCTTTATGATCCCTTTTAATAGTTCTTAAGGAGAATATTAATTATGGGTCTTTCCCAGGCTCTCAAAGACATACTAAAAGATACCCCCTCCCCCACCCCCCGCCAATCCTTTGTGTTTCAGAGGGACTATCGGTGTTAGGCCCACACCCTCACACTCTGATGGACTGCAACTAATTCAATCACTGGAGTCTTCTTTTATTAAGAGGTCAAAATATAAAGGCAATACCTCAATTAGAGCCTGACTCCTTCATTTTTTTCTTTTTGGGGGGTCACACCTACTGATGCTCAGTGGTCACTCCTGGCTCGGGGACTATATGAGCATGATATAGGAGATTGAACCCGAGAGTAGGCCACGTGCAAGGCAAATGCCTTACCCATGTACTATCACTCCAGCCCTGACCTCCTTCCTTTAACTGTG